GTGTACAGTTATTGATAAGGTTGCATCTATAAAGTATTTGGGGGTTGTTCTGGATCAACACTTGAACTGGCACGCTCAAGTTGAATATACGAGTAATAGGATACGGAAATTAATTTGGATATTTAGGAAACTAAGACATGTCACCTCTAAACAACTACTAAACCAAATATATACTGCATTGGCACAGCCCATAATAGGGTATTGTGTATCAGTTTGGGGAGGCGCAGGTAAAACAAAATTATTAGAAATCGAAAGGAGTCAACGTTGTCTCCTGAAAGTTATGTATTTCAAAGCATTTAGTTTTCCTACTGAAGAACTTTACAAGTTGAGTGAGCTTCTTTTAATAAGACAGATATATATCCTATCAACAGTCTTACGAATACACAAATATTTGCCTTTTAACACCGATACAATGATGAGAAGAAGAAAAGATAGGGTAGCAGTAACTAGATACGTAAAAACCAAATTCGCTCAACGTCAGTTCTTATCACAATCTGCTCATCTCTACAATAGACTGAACAAAGATTTAGATATATATCAGTTGAACACATACAAATGTAAACACATTGTTACAAAATATTTACATACTAAAACATACAACGACACAGAATGTTTATTGCAATATACTAATTAATTTTTTTATTTCTTAAGTTTGATATGTTGAAACCGGTATGGGTGAACGAGAACTGTGATATTTTATAAAAACCTACACATTCATACTCTCACAACACACACGCACACACACACACACACACGCACACACACACACACACACACACACACACACACACACACACACACACACACGCACACATGCACGCAGGCTCGCACACATGATTTTGTTAAAATTCAGAATTAATCCATTTCAGGTAATATGTAAATTTTATTAAAAATTGATTATTGTTTTACCTCATATTTCACTCTAAACTGATGTTAATATTAATTATTTTTATAAGTATTTTGCCAAATTGTCTTCACAAGCACAATTAAGTATAGTATAGTAAGGAAGAGCGGGGTCACCTGGCACAAGTAATTATTATTATTTAATAGGTTGGTCCCAACCTCTGTTTACAATTATAAACCACTGTGTTGTGAAATAAAAAAAAAAAAAATAAAAAAAAAAAAAAGGATACTTGTCGTAGTTGCCACGTAGCTATTTTTAAGTGTAGCTTTTTTTTTCTTGCTTTCCCTTTATCCTCCGCTTTCTCACTCTTTCGCTTTATTTCATCTCGCGAAACATGTTAACCCAGATGACGTTGCTTTGTTCTGTATTATTCTATTTTATTATGCCAAGCCCTTGTTACCAGTAAGCCATCTTTGTTATTCAATCTTACCTAGGTTTTATTGTAGTTTAAAACTTTCACAAATCATTTGCTGTGACAAAGTAGTAACACCTAATTAAGTAAGGTTTATTTTGAATAATCACAATTACTATTGAGCATTTAACGAGGATAAGTGCGTAACGCAACTACTGTTATTTCAAACTTAGGAAGGGTCATGCTAGATGTTAAATATATTTATATGTCTTTAAGAAACTACATTTTTAAGCGGAAAGTTAGCTAATAAAATTTGTAAACATAAATAGTCTTTACGTGGAAAGTGTGCATCGATTTTCATATAAAGTAGCCACAGGCGCAAAAATTTATTTCAAGTGCAATTCCGTTCAACAGATACTCGTAAATAAATAAAAAAAGAGGCTTAGCTGTACGGTGGATGACTTAAATGAAAACGGTTTCAGAATCAGGCACCGCAATATTAATTTTACTTTTTAATTTTATCTTCTTTTTTAAGACTCGGTTCTAATTTAATTATACTAAGCAATTTATATTTTTTTGTTGCATTTTTTAGTTGTTGTTAGCATTGCATTAGCTGTTATAATTTTCGTAACATCAATAGCATAATACGAGTATGTTATAAAAACAACAAACCTTGGTTACCAGATTTTAGTTTCAAAATTGGTCAAAAACGACAAAACGACATCACTATCATAATATATAATATACATTTTTACAACCTTTTATAACTATGTTTGTCGATGAAATGAAAAATGAAAAGGTTTGCTTAGTGTAACTCGAAAAATAAAGTGACGTCACTCTAAATCCAATATGGCGGACTTCTAAAAATGGCGGACTAAGTTTTTTATGCTTTCCTACAAAATGGGTATCAAATGAAAGGACTTGCTGAGAATACGAATGCGAGTTAACCAATAATAAGGTGGTGCTCATAAACTCGGTTGCTCCAATCCGTCTGAAATTTTGGTGTACTGGGGTTTTTGCAGTCCTCGATAATGATATTGAGGTCAAATTGTTCGAGTCTGTAGCATCGGTTGGTTAACTTTGATTTGTGTAATTTGACGATATAGGCGTCAACAGAATTGGTTTGCAACCTGTCTAGGAGAAGGATAACTCCAAAATTAAATTATGTGTTTAGTAAGGCACAATTAAGCTTAGAGCTAAAATAAGTAGTGCATTCCTCCAAACACCCGAGTCAAGGTGAGGCCGTGACGAGGACTGAGTGGCATCAGGGTGTAACATGATGTCAATCCGTCTGAAATGTTTGTGTGCTGGGGTTTTTGGAGTTCTCAAATATGATATTGAGGTCGAATTTCTCGAGTTTGTAGCATTGGTTGGTAACCTTTGACAGTCCAAAAGTCTGGTGAATGGTGCCATTACACATATTACAGAAATCATATGGCCGTGCTTCTAGAGAGCACACATGTATGATACTGACATACCATCCATCCGTATAGACTTCAGTAAAGACGGTGTTTATCTCATTAAACTCAAGACTGTACAATTTCCAGCAAAATATAGTCATGGCACTGCACAACGAAGAATGCTGTCAATTATATTATGTTGGGCTTGCACAGTACACAAATGCAGGGTAGTACTATCGATCATGCCGTTGTATACTTAGGTTCGAAGATCTTCGCTGCTGGTCAAGCATACGTGGCCTTAAGTAGGGTAAAATCATTAGAAGGTCTCCTTATTGAAGAGCTAGACTGTTCGAAATTAACGGACAAACGACCTTGCAACAATGATGCGTTGAATGAGATGATCAGACTGAGAAACCTATCCAGCAATAAGTAAAAAGTAAAAAAAAAACTCTTTAATACAAGCTTTTTTTAAAATGCGCTAAAAAGAATAAAATAAACTTTTCCTTTAAAACTTTTACTTTACAATTTATAACGTCATTACACAATTTATATGATATAAAAGCTTGTCGCGAGATTTACCTGTGTAGATGAACAGGATCTGATTGATTTTAATTTTTTAAATTTTCAAACTAAGTAAATACGAGAAAGTATAAATGATTAGAAACTTAAATATCAATCATTCACCGATAAAAAGCCTAAAAATATTCAATGCTTAACATAGATCTTCCTCGCATAAAGATTGCCTGAGAGAGTAAGAACTGCGTGGCATATGTGGCAAAATCCGCCCCGATTTTCTTGGCAGGCGTATAATCCCCCCTGATTCTGTCATAGCTGCCATGCTTATACCTATCCCTGTAGCTGGCAAACCACTATTCAATCAAGAAGTAAGTGACCTGCCGTTTCCTTGTGTTTCAAGCAGACTGCAGAAAGGGATGTCTGTAACACCAAAAGTCAAGAAATATTTATTAAAGAAACGATGTCCTATTATGACTCTGTTAACTAGTCTGTGTATTGGAAACATGGAACACGGGCTGTAAATATTGTCAATTTTCTGATTCCGGGATGATACTTAGAATTTTCCGACAAAAAAACACAATAAATGATTCTGAAGCGCGACTGCTGCTCTTGTGACCACTAAAACAACGAGGCACAAATTGTGTATTAATTGTGTAATATTTTTGTAATCTTAGGAAACTAAGCCAAGGTAGTAGGATTTACTATAAGTCAACTATGTTTAATTATGTTTGTTTTGTTTGGAAAGCCATTGTTTACAGACAAGTGATGTTCAGATACTAGAAACTTTACAGAATAAGCATAATATACTCAGGATTTGTAAGATCAGAATAGCATTATTTTGCAAAGTAAGCATAGATCTACTAAGAAATTTGTAACACGAGAATAGGAGAACATTTAGCAGAACAGACATGATGTGGCATACATTTCTCTCTAATATTGTTCATGCAAAATTTAAATATATATCTATGTTTGTAGGTTAGTAACTCATTTAATAAGCACGATGAAGTTGATAAAACAACATATATCGCTAAGCGTTAGCAATATTAATATTGATCACTCTGCTCACAAGATCAGACATAGCATTCTCTTACCAAATACCATTCGCTGTATAATATGCGGTCCCTCTAATTCCGGTAAAATAAACGTTGTAATAAGTTTATTGTTGTATGAAAATGGGCTTAAATTTCAAAATCTTTACTTGTATTCAAAAACTAACTATCAACCAAAATATCGTTTTTTACGAGAAGTAATTAAGAGAGTGCCTAATATTTCATTTTATGAGTTCAATGATAACAATAACGTTATAGGTCCAAGTGAAGCTTTAAAAAATTCTGTATTTATTTTTGATGATGTTGCTTGTGAAAATCAAATCAGCATTCGTAAATATTTTTCTATAGGCAGGCACAAGCAAATCGATTGCTTTTATTTATCTCAGACCTACTCGAAAATTCCGAAACAATTGCTACGAGACAATGTCAATTTTATTATAATATTTAAACAAGATGATGTGAACTTAAAACATATTTATGAAGAACATGTTAGTTCTGATATGTCATGAAATCAATTTAATAATATTTGTAATATAGTTTGGAGTAAGCCGTATAATTTTGTTTGTATTAACAAAGACTCACCGTTAAACAACGGCAGGTATAGAAAGAATTTTGATATTTTTTTAACCTAGAGTAAACTATTATAAACGGGTTTTAGATAAAACTATTTAGTTTTATTGTAGCGGCGATAGAATGAAGTATTGTAAAGCATTATGGAAAAGCAAATTAAAATGGAATTAATGAAGTCTGTGGACGCCATATAGAATAAAATAAAAAAAATGAAAAATAATGACCATGAACTGAACTTATCCGTAGATAAAATGCTAAACCCTGTTACAGAGCCCCTTAAAATCTTATTAAATAAGCAAAAACCAAACCAAGACCATAATTTATCGACGCAATCATGCGCAGGTTCTGCTGGATCATTTGAATCGCAATTTCAGAACTATTACGATGCTGACTTGAGTTCTGCAGAATCCCCAAAAAATGAAATTAAAGACAATTTAGAGGCTTCATTAGATCGGAATTATATCTATGATATTTACGATGATAAATTAAATATACCATTTGGGATAAGAAAAGAAAATAAAACTTACATGATGGGAAATTCAAAAGTTACATTTTCTAAAATTGACAGTTTGGATAACGAAACTGTATTTTTAGTAAAAATTGGAGACAAATCTTACAATTTAACTATCGGGTTAAGAGAACTTCTACTTAGAAAAAAAGCTGATTTGAATACTTTGATACTAATATCAAGCGCTGATAAACTCGTGTACAAAGATATTATACACCATACTAACGCTCATAAGAGAGATTTTAACCCTAGAGGTCAAATAAGAGGTGATAAGGGAATTAAATATCGAAAAATAATTAAACCGTTATTTTACGAGACCTTAATCAAATATAAAAAAATTTAAGAAAAGCTTGGAGGTTTTTACCTAAGCTTAAGAAATATAAAATCAACACTGATATTGTATATTGGGACGATCCAAATGAATTAGTTGATAGATTAAAACTTTTATTAGCTTCAAGAGTTGCGGGCAACACATATCATGATAATGAAATTTTATCGATCATTGAAGAATTAAAAGAAGCTAACATTATAAAGGAATAAAATACTAATGATTACTAGCTTTTACTTATTATTGGTGAAGTTGCTCATGTTGCAAATTACTAAAAAAAAATTCTGTATTTATTTAAGTAACAAGCAGCATAAACGAAATAGTTTTAATAACTACCAACATAATAATAAAATAAAATATATTATTTTTTTGAACATGAGTAAAGCCGATGTAGTAAATGAAAGTCATGAAATGCTAGGGTGAATTTCCCAAGTAGAAATAATAAAATACAAAGACTTTTAATTAAACCACCATTTCTTTTTTACAAATTGACTGTAAAAGAAAAGAAACATGTAAATTGGATTCAATGTAATAGAAAGATATATTGGTGTGAGGGAGTAACACCTTATTTAAATTATCAGAATTTGATTGCAGATAAAATAAAGGATAAATGTATATACGTCAAAGTTTTAGAAAAAGTTTTATGGTTAAAATCCATCTTACAAAATGATAACATAAATAATTTAGAAGATAAAGGATGTCCTAGTTTGTTAAATCTGTATGATCGATATAAAGATTGTAAAGATTTATATAGTTGTATTAATCATGACTCAGTATGTGTTTTGAAAAATATTTATTGTTTAAATAAATGGTGCTCTGAAAATAACATTTGAAATATTCTTTATTTTATTTCATAAAAAAACTCTCCACCAGCAACTTTTTAAAAATGTTTATAAGGCATCAGCGCAACTTTGCAGCTTCATTATACTCTTAGAACCAGCAAGATCAAACCTCCACAAAGCATGAGAGACATGTCTCAAAACGAATACAGACCCCGATATAGTTTATGTGATTCATATAAAACACGCTTATTTTAATTTAGCCATTATTGGGCAACGAGTGATTTAAGAGAAGCAGTGGTAAATGAAATGGCTGATGCGGGATTCTTTTATTTTGGCAATAGCATAAATGATACAGCTGCTTGTTTTTCCTGTGGAGGAGTTAAAGAGATTGGGAGATTTACGATGATCCGTGGATGCAACACACATAACATTATCCTTAATGTTTTTATGTGAACGCCGTGAAAGGGTTAGATTATATAAATAAATGTTTGAAAGAGTATGGTAAATCGCTGTAAGTTAAAAAGAGTGAGACAGAATTGAGAAGACATCTGCTTAGTTAAAAAAAATGAAAAAGTACAAAATCGCTGTGAGTTAAAAGTGATACAGAATTGAGAAGACATCTGCTAGTTAAAAAATGGGAAATGAAGAGCTGTTTAGTGAAATATTGGGGCGAACTGCATCGCGAAAAGATGTGAGTGATGCCGCAGCCCCAATATTACCCTACTGTCCTCGCCGGCTGATACTTCGAATCTCTCTTACCCGGGCTACAAATTGGAGCACTCCTTTGTGCCTCGGGCTGGAGTTTGCATATACGTCAGAGAGGACATCTGTTCTTGACGCCTCGGCAGTCTTGAAGGTTTGGACATGTCCATCCTTTAGCTACACGTAGACAACGCCGACCATCCGCGCGTCTACGGGTGCCTCTATAGGTCCCATAACGGTAATGCCAAAATAGACCGACTCATCGACCACGTCCAAATGGCTACAGATTCCTTGCTACAACAGGTCCCATCCGCAGAGACCGTGATCTTAGGCGATTTTAACACCCACCACGCCGAATGGCTCGGTTCACGTTTAACCGATCATACGGGAAGATCTGTTTATGACTTTGCCTTGGCCTTGGCAGACTATATGTCTGACACAACTGGTTACATCGCCTACGCGGATTCCAGATATTGAGGACCATACACCTTCCCTGTTGAACCTTCTGCTGACCTCTCATCCGGACGGATATCAGGTTTCCGTCGATCCCCCTTTTGGCTCTTCGGACCATTGTCTGATCCGGAGTATGGTGCCACTCATGCACCCCTCGCGGTTGCGTTCTGCAGGTTGCCGCCGTGTTTGGCATTACAGGTCGGCGGATTGGGACGGAATGCGGTCTTTCTTCGCTTCCTACCCATGAGGGCGGGTTTGCTTCTCGCCGGATGATCCCAGCACTGTTGCTGACTCTGTCACTGATGTGGTGCTACAGGGAATGGAACTATTTATTCCATCATCTGTGGTACTGTTGGTTTGGTCGCTCCCGTAAGACTGCATTACGCAGTAAGCAGGAGTTTTATCAAGCCTGGGCTGCGGCTCCGGCGACTCGGGATATAAACACCAGCATATTTACAGAGAAGCCACACGGTGCGGTGCGGCATCGCACCGCAAACATTTTGCCGCATCACTGTACACATGTGGTATACGGCACCGCGATACGGCACCGTTGTGGCGCCGTAGTGTGATGAGCGGGGACCTAGCAAGTCCTAGTGCAAAATGGATATGGATCGGAATAGACATCGCGACGCCGGAGCAGCACTTCCCCCCCCCCCCCTCGTGTCTCGCTCAATCGAAGTGCGGTGTGCCTTCGGTGCGGTGCCGGAACGCACCGTCTGGCATATCATTAATTTTTATATGCAGGACGCCGCAGCGACATCGCTCCGGCGCCGCGCCGCGCCCGCACCGCACCGTGTGACTTCTCTCTTAAAAAGAAGAATAACTTCACCTCCAGGTCCTTCAAAAGAGTTATTGCCAGAGCAAAGTCAGAGCACATAGGCAGAATTGGCGAGAAACTAGTTCGCCTTCCTTCAGGAACCCGTGCATTCTGGTCCCTCACCAAGGCTGTCCAAGGGAATTTCTGTAAACCATCACTACCATCTCTGCACAGGGAGGACGACTCAATGGCCAACGACGCAAAAGAGAAAGCCGACCTTTTAGGCTCCCTTTTTGCGTCCAACTCGACTCTTGATGACGGGGGGAACACACCGCCGACCATTCCGCGGTGTGAGTGCTCCATGCCGGATGTACGGTTCTCATAGCGCTCGGTTCGCAGAGCACTCATCTCCCTGGACATACACAAGTCGAGTGGGCCTGACGGAATCCCCCCAATTGTGCTGAGGACGTATGCTCCGGAGTTGGCACCGGTTCTAAGGCGTCTTTTCCGGTACTCCTGCTCGCTAGGCGTAGTCCCGAAATCATGAAGACAGCTTTTGTCCACCCGATTGCTAAAAAAGGCGACCGCTCAGACCCGTCCAACTACAGGCCTGTCGCCATCACACCCGTGTTCTCAAAAATAATGGAATCCGTTATAAACTGCCACCTCATGCGGTACCTTGAGGATCACCAGCTGAATAGTGACCGCCAATACGGGTTTCGTCGGGGTCGATCAGCTGGTGGTCTTCTGGTCTACTTAACCATAGATTGGCGGAATCAGTAGAGTCGAAGGGGGCAGCATTGGCCATTAGTTTGGACATTGCGAAGGCCTTCTATCGGGTTTGGCACAAAGCGCTTTTTTCGAAGCTCCCTTCCTATGGGCTTCCCGAGAAATCATGCAATTGGATCACCAGTTTTTTTGCAGATCGGAGCATCAAGGTCGTTGTAGATGGTGCAGCTCCGACTACAAGCCTATTAACGCTGGTGTTCCACAAGGCTGCGTGCTATCACCAACGCTGTTTCTTCTGGATATCAATGATATGTTGCAAACCGGTAGCATTCATTGCTATGCAAATGACAGCACTGGTGATGCTCTATACACCGGCCGTGCCAATATTTCTCGGGAAAACGTCGCCGAGTACCGGAACAAACTTGTGTCTGAAGTCGAGTCTTTGCTGGACAAAGTCTCGGATTGGAGGCGACTAAATCTAGTCCAGTTCAATCCTCAGAAGACACAAGTTTACGTGTTTACCGCTAAAATGAACCCCTTTGTCGTATCTCCTCAGTTTCAAGGTACTCCCCTTGTTGCCTCAGCCAGTATCGGAATCCTCGGCGTCGACATATCGAGTGACGTGAAGTTTCGTGGTCACTTGGAAGAGAAAGCCAAATTGGCCTCTAAAAAGCTTGGCGTGCACAGCAGTGCGGGACAGTATTTCATGCCGGCACAACGCATGCAACTTTACAAGGCGCAGGTTCGGCCTCACATGGAATACTGTTCCCATCTCTGGGCATGGGTTCCCCAGTGCCAGCTCCTTCCACTTGACCGCATCCAGCGCAGAGCGGCTCGAATCGTCGACGACCGAGTCTTTTCCGATCGGCTCGACTCATTAGCGCTGCTAAGGGATGTTGCATCTCTTTGCATTTTTGCCACGGGGAGTGGTCTGAGGAATTGTGCGGATTAATCCCAGCCGTCAAATTTCACGAACGCACATCGCGGCAGAACTCCCGATACCATCCACACTATCTGGATGATTGGCAGTCCACCACTGTGCAATTTAGAAGATGTTTTTTTTTTAGCATAACTTCCTTGTGGAATAGTTTACCACCAGCGATTTTTCCGGACTGATACGACTTAGGGACCTTTAAGAAAAGAGCCTACTCCTTTTTAAACGGCCGGCAACGCATCTGCAATTCCCCTGGTGTTGCGGTTGTTCATGGACGGCGGTAGTCACTTACCATCAGGTGAGCCGCATGCTCGTTTGCCCCCTCTCCTATAAAAAAAAACTATGTAAGACATAGGGAATAAAACATGGTTTCACTAACCCATTTAAAACGAAACAAATACATATTTTGCCCTTCAAATTCGTTGCCGAAATTGTAAAGTTTTGCAAATGTGTTTTGTAAATTGTAAAGTTTTGCAATAGTTACCATAAATATTTAGCGTCTCACTTAAGTAACAGGTAAACATATCCGTTTGTTTCTAAATAGTCATAAGTCTGAGCGATTGTTATTTACTATAGAATATCATTGTAATAGGTCGTGGAAAATGTTTCTTCGTAATATATATATATATATATATATATATATATATATATATATATATATATATATATATATTAAGAAGTTAAATAACATTTAATTGTAATAAGCAATAAAACTTCAGAATGAATCGAATTTCTTCGTTAGATTTACTAATTTTTGCTGACAGGAAATTAATTGAAAAATAACAGGAAGGTGTTTTTTTACTATTTATTTTACTTTTTTTTAAATATCCTATATGTATACATATTAAAACCAGC